GTGGTAAATCAGCATTTAAAATTGCAATTAACAATTTCATTTGTGCCGACGGGGATCGCACCCGCGTTACTCGAGTTCTGTTAATATTTGCAGCGAGCGTTAACCATCTGAGCTACCACGGCTCTTTATATATTTCCAGTCCATATATGTCCAGTTTAATATATTTCAACAAAAATAAAATCAAAATCAACGTGATATAGCCATGATGCACCTATACTATGGTTGTATCACGAATGGGTCACCTCGTCCGCGGTGCTCTCGTAGATTACAAAACTTTAAATGGCAATGGAAGATAAATGTAGATATCTATGTCCTTTACAATCAGGTGGACTGTATGATCGTTTGTCATGTTTATTCTACAAAAAGACATTTAACTGATGAAGGTTGACTAGCAGAGAATGACAACAGGCATTATGTCCGCTTATTATTTTTCTATTTGTAAGGTGTTTCAACAAAGAATAAGTATATAACATAAATATAAAAAGTGGGCTAAGTGTAGTATAAACAACGTTCGGTGTCCGGGGGAGTGGGTTGAGATTTGAACAGGTGCCACGATAGCAGTTTCTTAAATTATGGCTATACGATGTTTTTAAACCGATTTAATTGAATGTTTTTTAAATTTATTATCAAATAAAAATTTATAAAAATTTGCTATGCGGCACAGCTTAAAACCACGCAGGTTTGTGTTGTGTGCCGTTCCGTCTACATTTTAATAATACTATTTATTATAATAATGGGGATAATAGCTAATATTTGTTAAGGTAAAAACATTTTAACTTTATGTTAACTTTAGTAAGTTCACTTTTAAATTGGTTAAGCGATGTATGCGCTGATGCGCTCACCATATTTATTTTTGGATGGTTTTGTTATAAATTTTTTTTGAGTTACTTTGCGGGTCTCAATTTTGTTTGAAACTGTATGCTGTATACCTAAATTAAAGAATTGTTCCTTTAACAATTGATATTGTACACTTTATCATGGATATTGAGTACCTTACAGAATTTAAATATACAATTTTCATTTGTTTTTGCCTGAAGTTTAATTTTTATAGGTACAACCGCATTTAAAATCCTAATTTGTAGTTTATAATTATATATATAATCATATATATATATATATATAATTATTTGTAACATGTGTTTAGGATTCAACGATTTCACAACATCAACACATTCAAGGATTAATTGACTGTAAAATGACAAGTATGTAATTCAAGCTTATGAGTTATGGTGATGTTGGCAGTAGATTAAACTAGTTCGCGTAAAAATGGAAGTGTAAATACCAGACATATTTTTAAATTAAAAATATCAATAAGATAATAAGATATTTAAATAAATTAACTCTGATACTCGAATTATTATGCTATTTCAGTCTAATAAAACATTACAACAATCTTACAATATCAGTAACACTAGGTTGTGATGCGGCTACGGTGGTCCAAGGGAAATAACCGCTTACATAAAATTAATTAAAATATAATATTGAAAGAAATGAACTTTTATATTTAAAATTATCGGACGAATAAATATTTTTTATTTAAACGATTCTCGTATGATTAGTAACAGTTAAGATTAGTAGTTCGGTTAGTAAATGTATACTACGAACCCTATATGATACTATTTTGACCCCCATGAAGTTGTCCATAAGCGGACTACTAAAATAATTTAGTTGTTGGATTGGCAGACGAATAGCATCGTCCAAATTTTATAGTGAAGGTAACTTTTTATCAAAATATATAATAGAAAAATCAGTTGACCTCAGTCTTTCATTGTTGAAGCCGTAAAGTATTTCTTTATCAGTAATACAGGAGTGCTATAGTTTATTACGAAGAAGGGAAATGTTGCACTGTAATATGTCAGCTTGACCGAAGAAAGAACACTGCACTGCACAAGATATTAGCGTAATATAGCAGTATTCTTTTTATTTATTTAAAAACACGCAGTTATTCTTAGAATTTACGTCTTCGTCGCCAAATATGCAGGAAAATCTAAATGTTAAAATTGAGCCGTCAATCGATGTTCCTACTTCTGAACTACCATGACAAGAGTTTTGTAATTTTAATGTACAAGTAGTAAAGAAAATCCAATATGGTATTGACAGAATATTTAAGTTTCGATACACACAAAATATTCTTCGATAGTTCATCGCTTTGTTCATCGAGGTCGTTTACCGTTTCAGCATTCTAGAAAATATAATTATATTTGTATTCGATTCCCATGAAGCTTATAATTCAAACAATTCTCTTAACATAATTAGGATATAAGTATATAGCATTTATTCCGTCAAAAATAATTCATGTTTATATTGTTTACTGAATAATACAATATAATACATAGCAAAATAAAACTGAATTTTAAAAATGGCAGCTAAATTTAATAAATTAAACAGAGAATACATTTTACATGGTATTTTATTCTTACCGTTACAGCCTATTGAAAGTCCACTGCTGAACATTGGCTTCTCACATAGATTGTCTCTTAGGGATTGTTGCCATAGTTGCAACACTGAGCCACCTGGGTAGGCAACCGATTGTTGCCTGGGTAGGCAACCGATTGTTTTTAAGTCCTTAAGAAAACGCCACAGCCAAGGGACGATATGGAGTAGTGGATTTTCTAGCATTGTCACGATACAGTTTTTAAGTTTATTACCATTAAGTAAAATTTTATTCAAAAGGATCTTTGTTATTTTATATTTGTCCAGTTTTTATTCTATTTATCAAGACAGGGCTAAAATTAGACGAATTATTAAACTAAAACCTAGTTTTAGTTCAATATTTCGGGTCTCTTTAACAAGAGTTTTATCAATGAAGATATCTGTTAAACATAATCTGTCCTTGTTTTTATCGTATTTGACCTTAATAAAAAGTAGTTTTCCAACATTTCCAGACAATAAATATTTACAAGCTACTTAACTGCAAAAGAAGTGGGTTGGTTTTACATACTGTTATGTGTGCAGTATGATGCAGCTGAGAATGACGTAGATTGTTGATGTTACTTGGAAACTAAGGATAAGTTATCATGATATACTTGCTGATATTAAAAGTTTAAAGGTACACAGCCTATATGGGTTCTACTCCTGTTTACGGGAATCCTCTCTTTTCTGGTTTTAGGGCAAGGAAATAGTTGCTAGATTGAAAATCACTTATCTTTGAAACCTTTTTTTTAATTCTAAGACATGCAGGTTTCCTTGCGATATTTTCATTAAGGCTGAGCTAAAAATTGCAATCTGCAATTTCATTTGTGCTGACAAAGATAGTACCTGGGTTGCTCGGTTACTGAGAAACTTTCAGCGAGAGCTTTGTCTCTGAGCTTTAACGGCTCGGCTTTAAATTTTAATATTATATTAGATTTTTCTGGATAGATACTAGTAGATGACAATAAATCAATAAAAATTTTCGCCTTTGCTACCTAAAGTGTTATTATACGGCATAGCCATAGGTTTTTGAGTTGACAAAATTAGTTGTAAGTTAAGCGTACAAATGGGAAAATTTAAATTTGAACTTAATATTTACGCCACAAGTTTATCATTTATGAACTGATTTTTAACTATTTTCTTTTTATTTAATAAGCTGTTGTACTGCAGACAATTTTACCCCTAAGTGTTTGCACTCAAAAGGGTGAAAGAATAAAAAAATTTAAAAGTACAAGCCGAAGTACACATTGCGAAGTTAGATCTTTTTTAACCCTTCCATAATTAATATATTACCTCTTTGCATCTACTTAAGAAAAAAATCTTGATGTCACAGCCTATATATACGTCGTCGTATTATATACGTATCACTGCTCGGCGCAGGCTTCCTCTCATTTCTGCGAGGGGTTTTTATAGGACAAGAAAATGTCCGCTACGCTGGGAAATGCGGTATCGCAAACTTGTCTTCTAAATATATATTTTTTCTTATTTCTCAGACATGCAGGTATTCTCACCATAGTTTTTAAATTATTTTTCTGTCCGCAAACATGAGTGAATATATAGAAGAAATTTCGATAAATTCTGAAGTTTTATTATAAAAAAGTGAAAAATGCGACTGAAGCCGTGGAAAAACTTTGTAACGTTTATGGACCTAATGCAGTGTGTGTAAGAGTGGCACAAAGTTGGTTGAAGCGTTTTCAGTCCGTGAATTTTGATGTCAAAGATGCAGCTCAAATCGATGCAATTTTTGAAAAAGTGGAGCAAGATTGGTATATTAGTAATTAAGACATAACCGAATAAATGAAAATTGACCACAAAACATTTTTGTCCCATTTGATTAAATTAGGCTATACAAAAAAGCTCAATATTGGGGTACCACACGAGCTCACTGAAAGAAACCTAATGAATAATAATAATAATAATAATAAATGAAACTCATCATGAAACGGCGCCGGGTCTGGGCGTCTCCCGCTAAATGACGCCCACCACTATGGATGATGGAATACGGAAGAACGCGCAAAGGGCCGCTGCCTGGAGGTCGCCAGGGCGCGTCTGGAGCTGGCGCTGGACGCGACAGCATGCGAACCGCCAGCCGAGGGCGAGGTGCTGTACGACCACCCAGCAGCCCCTCGCATCCATCATCCCCACCAGCTGGTTTGGTGTCGGCAGGGTCGTCGCGGGCCCAGCAATCGGCACTCGCCACTTGTGGAGTACGCCGCATGCGTTGGACAACCCAGATGAACAGCAACGCATTGCGGGCGTATTATAGGGCGAAATGGGGTGAAACTGGAGGTTTTGCGTATCGGGCAAGGATGCATCGACTTTTTGCTGAGCTGGAGCCATCTGTAACCGTCACCGAGCAAAACCTGGCAGACCGAGTTCGGTATATCTTGCGCTCAAATACATTTGATGTCACCGAACTCGAACGGCTACGACGTGAGGCTGTTCCTTCATCGGGTGAAAATGCTGCGGCTGAGGATGCGGCACAACTTGCTGAGTAAACGGCAAATGTGGATGCCGCCGTGAATACGCCAGTTGTGGTTGATTCAAACGATGACGGAACAGTCGCCCAGGAACTGGAACTAGAGCAAATGAGGAGTACATTGGAGGAGGCGATTGTGGAAACGCGCAGTACGCCTCTCGAAAATCGGCCGCGACTTCCCCGCTTAGCCCTAAGAGAGCGGAATCGGGATGCCGTGAGGGCTCTGAACCCAATGCTGGTTACCTACTTGGAAGCCAGCCGGGACCTTTGCGAGACGGACTCATTTGTTTTTGGCGCCGCACTGGCAGTCTGCCGTATTATAGGCGCTAAACTTTCCACGGCTGGACGCGCTACTGGACAAAGTAGTGCTATCCCAGCCTGGAGAATAAGAATTGAAGAACGTATCGCAAGGGCTTGGGCCCTCATCGGCAGACTGATATGCTTCAGGTCAGGCAATACCAGGCCAAGGATTGTGTGCACCGTCAGGATGGCGTTTGCTGGGACAAATGTTAGTTTGTCCCAGCCGGATATAACGCAAAAACTGACGGAGCGCATAGACGACCTGAAGCAAAGAATCGCTGCTTAGGGAAAGCGGATTCGGCGATATACCGAGAGGTCGACACGGTTCAACCAGAAACGTCTCTTCCAGAGTGATCAGAAGAGGCTCTACAAATCATTGGAGCGACCAATAGTAAGTGGAACGGGCCCAGCACCAAATCAGGCCGACACGGTCGCATTCTGGCGCAGCCTGTGGTCAGAGCCCGTAAATCACAACGAGGGCCCTTGGACGGAAGTTGTGGTGAGTCAGTGTGCGGGTATTACGCCCATGGATCCCGTCACCATAACACCGGATGACGTAGCTGAGGCAGTCCGTAGGGCCCCGAACTGGAAAAGTCCGGGGCTTGACGGGCTGCATCACTACTGGCTGAAGGGGTTCATGGTGTGTCACGCTGTGCTCGCCCGACAGTTCTTTTTTTTTATAGAAGAAGGGGCAAACGAGCATGCGGCTCACCTGATGTTAAGTGACTACCACCGCCCATGATCAACCGCAACACCAGGAGAATTGCGGGTGCGTTGCCGGCCCTTTAGAAAGGAAACGGCCCTCTTTTCTTGAAGGTCCCCAGGTCGTATCGGTCCGGAAAAATCGCCGGTGGTAAACTATTCCACAGAGAGGTTGTACGTGGAAGAAAACTCCTTGTGAAACGTACAGTGGTGGACCGCCAAGCATCCAGATGGTGTGGATGGTATCGGGACGTTTGCCGTGTAGTGCGTTCACGAAATTTGGCGGCTGGGATTAATCCGAACAATTCCTCAGAGCACTCCCCGTGATAGATGCGATAAAATACGCAAAGAGATGCAACATCTCTTCGCAGCGCCAGTGAATCGAGCCGATCGGAAAGCACTCGGTCGTCGATGATTCGAGCCGCTCTGCGCTGGATGCGGTCAAGTGGAAGGAGCTGGTACTGGGGAGCTCCAGCCCAGAGATGGGAACAGTATTCCATGAGCGGCCGAACCTGCGCCTTGTAAAGTTGCAGGCGGTGTGCCGGCATGAAATACTGTCCCGCTCTGCTGAGCACGCCAAGCTTTTTAGAGGCCAATTTGGCCTTCCCTTCCAAGTGACCACGAAACTGCGCGTCACTCGATATGTCGACGCCGAGGATTCCGATACTGGCTGAGGCAACAAGGGGAGAGCCTTGAAACTGAGGGGATACGACAAAGGGGTTTTTTGGAGCGGTTAACGCGCAAACTTGTGTCTTCTGGGGTTAAACTGGACTAGATTTAGTCGCCCCCAATCCGAGACTCTGTCCAGCAGAGACTCGACTTCAGACACAAGTTTGTCCCGGCACTCGGAGACATTTTCCCGAGAAATATTGGCTCGGTCGGTGTGTAGGTGTGCTGCACACACACATGTAAACTTCGCAATGTTGTATTGTAACTATATTATGTAGTGAATAAGATTTTTCAACCAGTCACTAGTTGCCCGCCAACTGTATGGCACGTTCCGCTATAATAAATATATTAGTAAAAGATTTAATCTTTCATTATGGTCACCAATAGGCACCCATATGGAGTCAGCTCCTAAACTGGTGACCCCGACGTGATTAAGATGACCGAAGTGGTCTATGTGATGTTAATGCAGTAGTGGGCAATATTCGCGTGGTTGTGATTGGTGGACAATAGATATAGTAACATGAGTGCGCCGTTTCCGCCTACGTCACAGAACGTGCCGCCTGTTAACGTGCCACCCGTTCAAGACATCCAGCCACCTGCGCAACCGCCCATTATGGCGCCAGGTGTAGATGCAGTGTCCCTACAGTCTCGCCTCGCAGACTTTTGGACGGACCAGCCACGCGTATGGTTCGTACGCACGGAAGCTATCCTCGCACCTCAGAGGTTGAGTGATGAGGCGAAGTTTGACCTGGTCGTGTCTAAGCTAAGTAAGGAGGTTATCGCGCAAGTGACGGACATATTACTCAACCCGCCTCCTACCTACAAGTACGACGCACTCAAAGCTCGGCTACTCCACATCTATGAGGAGTCAATGTCGAGGCAGATCGAGAAGCTTATGAGCGAGCTAGAGCTGGGCGACCAGAAACCATCTCAGCTGCTTCGGCGGATGCGTGAGCTCGCTACTGACAAGGTTCCTGATGAAACCCTTCGCGTCTTGTGGCAGGGTCGTCTTCCGACACAAGTCCGAGCCGTGCTAACTGTGTCCGACTCCAAGGACCTGGACAACCTAGCAGCAGTTGCAGATAACGTCATGGAGGCTGTGCGGCCTTCCTATGCCGCCACCGCTACTTACACCGTGCCAGCGCCAGCATCTACTACCGCCTATGACTTGGCCCTGTTGAGAGCTGAGGTGGCTAAAATAAAGGCTAACGTGGACCGGATCGATCAGCAGAGGTCGCGGTCCCGCGCCCCTGATCGCAACCGGCGTCGTTCACAGTCCAGGCGCCGTAGCAGTCCCTGCCGTCCCCGGAAGGAGAACTACTTATGCTTTTACCATTACAGGTTCCGAGAAAAGGCCAACAGGTGTACGAAGCCTTGCGCGTGGAAAACAACACAGCCGGAAAACTGAGCAGCGAGGTACAGTCCGAGGGTCTTCAGGTCTGTACCGTTTTTCCATTCAATCGTTTGTGTGTGTCAGACAGTAACTCCGGACTTAGATTTTTAGTTGACACCGGTGCCAATGTGTCTGTTTTACCAGCCGTGAGAAAAGATCGTCTAAATCAGTGTAGTGAATATAAATTATACGCAGCTAACGGCAATGAAATCGCAACTTACGGTACCAAGACAATAGTGTTAAACTTAAACTTACGCCGACCTTATCGTTGGGAATTCGTTGTAGCAGATGTCAAACAACCAATTTTGGGCGCCGATTTTTTAGCGTACCACAAACTATTAGTTGATTTAAACGCGCGTAAATTAATAGATAAAACTACAGAATTGAATGTTTCGGCATCTGTTGTCAATGTATCTCAACCTAGTGTTAAAACTATTGATGTAAATCATCCATATCAGGATTTATTGTTAAAGTATCCGGACATCACTAAACCAGCGTCATTCCGAGAAACTGCGAAACACGATGTCGTCCACTATATCGAGACCTCTGGGCCGCCCGTGCACGCGAAAGCGCGCCCGTTGCCACCTGACAGGTATAAAAAAGTTTAATAAGAAGTTCAAAAGCTGGCTTCGTCATCAGGTGTTAATGACAGGCGTTCCGATATCGGGCCAGAATATGGGTCAGATGATAGGTGCTTCTAGCACCAGTCTGCAGCATGTGCCCGCGCCCGCCGCGGCCGCCACCCCTTTCGCGGGGGTCTCCGTACAGCCCTGCGCACAAGCGCATTAGCAAGTTTTTGTTGTTAGTTTTAAGTTTATATTCATTGTATAGTTTTAAGTTTTTTGTATTCATTTTTTGGTAAAGGGGGAAGTATTGTAGGTGTGCTGCGCACACACATGTAAACTTCGCAATGTTGTATTGTAACTATATTATGTAGTGAATAAGATTTTTCAACCAGTCACTAGTTGCCCGCCAACTGTATGGCACGTTCCGCTATAATAAATATATTAGTAAAAGATTTAATCTTTCATTATGGTCACCAATAGGCACCCATATGGAGTCAGCTCCTAAAGGTGTAAAGAGCATCACCAGTGCTGTCATCTGCATAGCAATGAATGTTACGGGTATGCAACATGTCATTGATATGCAGAAGAAACAGCGTTGGCGATAGCACGCAGCCCTGTGGAACACCAGCATTAATAGGCTTGCAATCGGAGCTTCCACCGTCTACAACGACCTTGATGCTCCGATCTGCAAGAAAGCTAGTGATCCAATCGCACAATTTCTCGGGAAGCCCATAGGAAGGGAGCTTCGAAAGAAGCGCTTTGTGCCAAACCCGATCGAAGGCCTTCGCAATGTCTAAACTAACGGTCAATGCCTCCCCCTTGAACTCTACTGCCTCCGCCCATCTGTGAGTTAGGTAGACAAGAAGATCACCAGCTGACCGACCACGGCGAAAACCGTATTGGCGGTCACTAATCAGCTGGTGAACTTCAAGGTACCTCATGAGCTGGCAGTTTACAATGAACTCCATTGTTTTGGTGAACAAGGAGGTGATGGCGATTGGCCGGTAGTTGGACGGGTCAGAGCGGTCGCCTTTTTTTAGGGATCGGGTGGACGTAAGCCGTCTTCCATGATTTTGGGACTACGTCTAGGGAGTAAGAGAACCGGAAAAGACGCGTTAAAACCGGTGCCAACTCTGGAGCACACGTCCTCAGCACAATTGGGGGGATTCCGTCAGGCCCACTCGACTTGTGGATGTCCAGGGAGAGGAGTGCTTTGCGAACCGAGCGCTGTGTAAAGTGCACTTCCGGCATGGAGCACTCACACCGCGGGATGGTCGGCGGCGTACTCCCCCCGTCATCGAGAGTCGAGTTAGACGCAAAAAAAGAGCCTAGAAGATTGGCTTTCTCCTTTGCGGTATGGGCCAGTGAGTCGTCCTCCCAGTGCAGAGATGGAAGAGATGGCTGACAGAAATTCCCCCTGGACAGCCTTGGCGAGAGACCAGAATGCACGGGTTCCAGAAGGAAGGCGAACTAGTTTCTCGCCAATTCTGCCTATGTGCTCTGACTTTGCCTTGGCAATGACTCTTTTGAAGGACCTAGAGGCGGAATTATACTTCTTTTTTTAGAGCGCTGTTGTTTACATCCCGGGACGCTGATGCATCAGCCCAGGCTTGGTAGCACTCCTCCTTATAGCATGATGCTATTTTACAGGAGCGACCAAACCATGGCTGAAACTTGCCTCCAATGGGCACCACAGAGGAAGGAATAAAAAGTTCCATACCCTGAAGTACCACATCGGCAACTGAATCTGCAACAATGTTGGGATCATCCGGCGAGAAGCAAACCCGCCCCCAAGGGTAGGATGCAAAGAAAAACCGCATCCCATCCCAATCGCCTGACCTATAGTGCCAAACACGGCGGCAGCCTGCAGAATGCAACCGCGATTTCAGCGTGAGTGGCACCACACTCCGGACCAGACAATGGTCCGAGGAGCCTAAAGGGGCGTCGACGGAAATC